GTCCAAACATTTGCTCTCTTTGGGTGGTGTTCCCGTTAATTATAAAAGTATGAAAGGGAATAATTTACATTAAAATGGTACTTCACCCAGTGCTAAATATTAAAGTGCTGTCGTGCTGTTGGTAAATTGGGTGCTCACGGCTACGGCAAGAACCGTGTGTTCCTCACCATCCACACCATACCTAACTGATTACCACACCTGTAAATATACTTAATTCCCAGTAATGTCACACCCAGTGCAACACTCCCGCCAAGTGGCTAGAGTAAGTAATAGCAATATTAACCTATCCAGAAAAGGTGAAGGTATAAATGGCTCCTACAATCTCATAAACTGCCAATAAAAAATAAGATATACTGAAGGTAATGACAAAATTATAAACAGCAATTATAAACAATCACACAGAAAAGGTCTATCCAGAAATACTGTTGCATGTGGTTTTGGTTGATACATCGTATCTTTGGCAAATTTACAAGTAAAGAAAATAAAAATAAAAGATCAAAGCTTATAATATCCATCCATATATATATATATATTATTGTATTGGCAATGTATTATTGGCCAGCGAGGGGGTGTAAAAAAAGTATTTGTAAACCTTATGCGGTTCTGATTATATATATATATATATATATATATATATAGGGTTTGCATGAAATAACTCTCTGTTCTTCACAGAATTGCTTCTAAAAAAATAGAAATATTGACAGTATATAGACAGTGTTAAGTGAATTTTGAAGTTGTATTGCTTCCATTCACATTCACTTTTGATGAGTGGACAAGAGCCACTTAATAATAATATATACTGTATATATATATATATATATATATATATATATATATATATATATATATATACTGTCACGGGGTGAAGAAACACTCGACAAGGCTGGCTTTGTGAAAAGGCCCCAGAGGGTGGATTTATTTACAATCAAATAAAGTTGGTGAAAGAAGTTCAGATGGCTTGTGGTGGCTGGTGCTTTAAGTGCTCTTCCGTGCTCAATTCAAATGAAAGTGGGTTTCCAAAACGGGCTCCACAAATGATGGGCTGTCGGTCACTCGCTGCTTTCTGGAGAGAATAGAGAGAAAGGTTAGACCAGCACTTCCATTCAGTTCGAGACTAGTGTCTGTCTGTTTGCTAAGCATGTGCTGCTTATGTGGCTGTGGGCTGATTGGGAGCAGCTGTGACCGATCAGCCAGCGATGAGGACGTGCAGGTGTTTTGTGTTGGTTGCCAGGGCGACGCTGCTTCCTCTGAGGGTGCTCGTCACATTCCCCCCCCCTAAGCGTCGTTCTGGTCCTGTGAACGAATGGAGACAGCAGGGGTGAAGTATGGGGAGGGTTGGGAATGACCCCTGACAGACCTGCATAAGCTGTCCAGATCCGTGAGAGGCCATCGGCGTTCGCGTTGGCGACCCCGGCCCGATGTCGTACCTCAAAGTGGAAGTCCTGTAGCGCTAGAAACCAGCGAGTCACCCTGGCATTGGTGTCTTTGGTGCGGGCCATCCACTGCAGGGGAGCGTGGTCTGTGACCAGGGTGAACTTGCGGCCCAGGAGGTAGTACCGGAGCTCCAGGACTGCCCACTTGATAGCCAGGGCTTCCTTCTCCACGGCAGCGTACTTCCTCTCGGCCGGGGACAGCTTCCTGCTGATATAAATGATCGGATGCTCCTCACCTTCCTGGATTTGGGACAGGATGGCTCCCAGTCCTGTGTCGGAGGCATCCGTCTGCAGCAGAAAGGGGCAGCTGAAATCGGGAGCGCGGAGTACGGGTGAGGACGTCAGCGCTGCTTTGACCCGGGCGAAGGCCTCCTCGACCGCTGGGGTCCAGCATACTTTCTCTGGCTGCCCCTTCCTGGTCAGGTCTGTCAGGGGGGCGGCTAAAGAGGAGAAGTTGGGGATAAAACATCGGTAATAACCCGCCAACCCCAAGAAGGCTCGTACCTGGGTCTTCGTCCGGGGTTTCGGGGCAGTGTGGATGGCCTCTACTTTCTTTTCCTGCGGCCGTATGAGGCCTCGTCCGACTTGGAAACCCAGGTACTTGGCCTCGGAGAGGGCTAGGTGACATTTTCGGGGATTGGCGGTGAGTCCAGCCCGCCGGAGTTCTGAGAGCACCCTCCGCAGGCGATCCAAATGTTCCTCCCATGCCTCGGAGTGGATCACCACGTCATCTAGGTAGGCCGCTGCGTATGCCTGGTGGGGCCGCAGGATGATGTCCATCATTCTCTGGAATGTCGCAGGGGCCCCGTGCAGGCCAAAGGGAAGGGTCCGGTAATGCCAGTGGCCACTGGGAGTTGAGAAGGCAGTCTTCGGCTTAGCAGCTTCAGAGAGTGGTACCTGCCAATAGCCCTTGGTGAGGTCTAGGGTGCTGATGTACCGGGCCCTTCCGAGGCGGTCCAGCAGTTCGTCGACACGAGGCATAGGGTACCCGTCAAATTCAGAGACTTCGTTCAGGCGGCGGAAATCATTACAAAAGCGGAGGGTGCCATCCGGCTTTGGGACCATTACAATGGGACTGGACCACGGACTCCGGGATGGTTCAATAACCCCCAACTTCAGCATTTGTTGGATCTCATCCTCAATAGCCTGCCGACGAGCTTCGGGGATACGGTAGGGCCGTTGCCTGACAATGACTCCAGGGGATGTCTTGATGTCGTGCTGGATCACGCTGGTCCGCCCGGGCTGGGTAGAGAACACATCCTGGAACTGACTGACCAGGTGCTGCAACTCCACCTTCTGGGCAGCCGAGAGATGAGGGTTGACGTCAACAACCACAGGTTCGGTGAGACTCAAGGCAGCCAGCTGGTCCCGCGTCCCCACCCACTTCTTTAGGAGGTTGACATGGTAGAGTTGGTCCGCCTGCCGCCGACCAGGTTGCCTCAGCCTGTACGTGACGGGTCCAATTCTTTCCAGTACCGTATATGGCCCTTTCCAGGAGGCCAGGAACTTGCAGGCAGAGCTGGGGACCAGGACCATGACGCGGTCTCCGGGCTGGAATTCTCGTGGTTGGGCTGCCCTGTCATAGTGGCGTTGCTGCGCTTGCTGGGCCTTGCAGAGGTGTTCGCGGACCAATGGCATTACTCGATCGATCCGTTCTCTCATCTGTCGAACATGTTCGATGATAGTACGATGAGGGGCAGGCTGCTGCTCCCAAGCTTCCCTGGCGACATCCAGGAGTCCACGTGGTTGACGACCGAACAAGAGCTCAAAGGGGGTGAACCCAGTTGAGGCCTGGGGAACTTCGCGGATTCCAAAGAGCACGTAGGGAATCATGAGGTCCCAATCCCGCTTATCCTCTGCCGTCACTCGTCTAAGCATCTGCTTAAGGGTCTGGTTGAACCTCTCCACGAGTCCGTCCGTCTGGGGGTGGTAGACTGTGGTCCTCAACTGTTTCACCCGTAGCAGCCTGCAGAGATCCGCCATCAGCCGAGACATGAACGGGGTCCCCTGGTCAGTCAGGATCTCCGAGGGGAGACCGACTCGGCTGGCCAACAGAAACAGCTCCTGGGCGATGGACTTTGCGGTGGCCTTACGTAGGGGCACTGCTTCTGGGTACCGGGTGGCATAGTCGACGATCACCAGGATGTGTTCGTGCCCCCGGGCAGACTTTGGCAACGGCCCAACTATGTCCATTCCAATCCGCTCGAAGGGCACTTCGATGATCGGCAACGGGATGAGCGGGCTGGGGGGAGGGGTCCGGGGCGACGTGACCTGGCAAGTCGGGCAGGCTTGGCAGAACCGCTTCACTTCGGCCTCTAGGCCCGGCCAGAGAAAACGGTCGCGGATGCGCTGAGTGGTGTTGGCTGCCCCGAGGTGTCCTGCCATGGGATGGGAATGCGCCAGCTCTAGGATGGTTCCGGTCTTGGCTCTAGGAACAACCAGTAATTTCTTCTCCTCCCCCCTCCGCTGAGCGACACAGTACAGCAGGCCATTCTCAACGACAAAATGCGGGAGAGGGTGGGGCCGGGGGAGGACGTCTTTTCCATCGACGGCTCGCACCTGAGCCCAACAATGCTTGAGCCGATCGTCCTCCCGTTGTTCCTTGGCAAAGGATCCCCCTCCCGCAGCCTGTTGGTATACATCATAAAACTGATTAGTAATTTGGGAGGGGGACTCACCATCTCTCCCGCTGTCGGA